AAATAATATTTTTTTACTATGTATTGGTTTGTAATTTACGGTGAAAAAGGTCCTGGAAAAAACTTTAAAATTGACCTTGAAAGTGCTTGAAAAGTGCTTGAATTTGACCTTGGAAAAGGTGTACGAACCCTGTCTCTGGCAAACTTCAGAAGGGCCTGGAGATGTACTGCCTTAAGCAGGGGACACGCCTGGCACTGCAGTATTTGAGTCCCTCTCGGTGTAGTGTGTTACTGATGGTAGCCTTTGTTACTTTGGTCCCAGCTCATTCATCAAGTCCCTCCGTGTAGTTCTGGGATTTTTGCTCACCGTTCTCATGATAATTTTGACCCCGTGGGATGAGATCTTGCGTGGAGCCGCAGATCGAGGGAGATTATCAGTGGTCTTCCATTTTCTCACAATTGCTCCCACAGTTGATTTTTTCACACCAAGCTGCTTGCCTATTGTAGATTCCCTTTTCCCAGCCTGGTGCAGGTCTACAAACTTTCTTCCTGGTGTCATTCGACAGCTCTTTGATCTTGGCTATGGTTGAGTTTGGAGTGGGGAGTGTTTGAGGCTGTGGACAGGTGTCTTTTATACAGATAACGGGTTCAAACAGGTGCCAATAATACAGGTAACGAGTGGAGGACAGAAGAACTTCTTAAAGAAGAAATTACAGGTCTGTTAGAGCCAGAAATCTGGCTGGTTTCTGGCTGACCAAATACTTATTTCCCACTATAATTTACAAATAAATTCTTTAAAAATCCTACAATGTGATTTCCTGGATTTTTTTTTTCTTCTCATTTTGTCTCTCATAGTTAAAGTGTACCTATGATGAAAATTACAGACCTCTCTCATTATTCTAAGTAGGAGAACTTGCACAATCAGTGGCTGACTAAATACTTTTTGGCCCCACTGTATGTTTTTTTAAAATGTGTATACTTCAATAGAACTGTAAAGCAGCATTTTCCCAAATTAGTTTAAGACAGATTCTCTTAAAACAAGTTTTATTATTTAATTTAGTGTTACATAGATCTTGTTTTAAGGATTTTTAGATATTTTATTGGGAATGTAAGTAAGTACGTTTTTTTTAAGTGCTTGTGGAAAATCTTCTTGAGACTTGAGTACAAGACGCGGACTAGAAAAGTTTGAACCATCCTCATGATTCTTTACTCTTCTTTCCCATAATTCCTTGTCCTTTCCACATTGTATTTTCTTTCATCATTGCAATAACATAATTAAAGTTTAATATTCATTGCATAAACATGCTTTGTTCTGCCTTTTCTTTCCAAAAGTTTCTGAGATTTCCAAAAAAGTTATTCAGATATTCACGCTGTGAGAGCCAACATAAATGCGTGCCAGGAAAGAAAAAAAAATTGCAAATAAACTGACAGCTTGCAAAATAGTTTTAGGACAAAGCATTTTTCAATACAGCACAGAGTAATTAAGGGCTTCCGTTTTCTTTGCAACCTGATCGTTACTGTTCTTTATTAACCTTATGTACTGTCTTCTGTCCCTTGTATATTTTCCTGCTTCCCAGATTTTTTAATGGAAGAGCTTAGCTCACCATTAAATCAAGCGAGATCAAAAGGCTAACTGAAATAAAAAAGCATTTTGCTAAACTTTGCTTGCTGATGTGTAAGAAGCCCTCTTCAGAGGAGGTAATTAACTTTGAGAAGAATCCATCTGGCCCAACTTGGTCAAAGATCAGGTAATCCCAGACCTGTGTCAAATGGAGGAAAGGCATGAATATAATTGCAAAGAAAACCCTGAGCACAAGTTGAGTCAAACTCATTTTGAAGTTTTCAAAGGATATGTTGAATTTCTTAGATGGCTACTGGGTCATTGACCTTTAAGATTGTGTTTTTCTAGCAACTAGCTTATCGCCCGACTAGACTGAATGTGTGCAAAGTCCCTTTTTAGTACAATTTCATGGAGTGGTAATGATTATTCATGACCTGTCAGTTTACTCAAATCACCAACCAGTGGCAGGTGGAATAAGTGGTTCTGTCGCATTGACTACCTCAAATAAAATCGTATTTGTCTTGAAAAGGACTTGCGGTTTTCTTTCTATTCACTACAGCCTTTTGACTTGTCATTGCAAGTCTTCTTTACTGCTTTTACTGAGTAAACAGAGAAAAGTGTCACATGAAGCCTGGGCATGAAGCATGATTTTGATGCCTTGATATAACTGGGATTTGGTCAGAATTTAAGTGCAAGACTTCTTACGCAGAAGACGTGACAAAACATCTGTCAGAAAAAAGAAAACGAGTCTGGATGTTGGTGGATAATGCAGGATATTGTTAGCTTGCTTCTGCAGATTAGCTCATCTGAAATTGTGTGAAGACATTTACATATTCAGTTCCCTTTAATGCTGAAATTTGACTCAAGGCAAGTTGTTATTGAACACACTGAAAAATAGCCTCAACGCTGTTGGCCCTCATTGATGATCTTCTGTGGTCCGATGCCTCAGCCAAGGATATTTTCATAACTTCATAACAAGCTTTGTTCCTGGAGGCAGTTCATCATTTCGAGAGGTTGAATCATCAAGTTTTAGAGTTGAAGTCATCCTTGATCCTTATATTATGAGGGCATACGAGTAGAATCTGTGTGATTTTATGCTAAACTGTGTTAAGTGACCGTTTAGTGTTTGTGTAAATTCTCAGCATGACCTCTTCTGAGGTGAACGACTTAAATGCAGCACTCGCTGTTTCATTACATAACTCAAAAAAAACAATCAGTATATTATGCAGCTTGTCCAAGATGATAAATGTGTCGCTGTGGCCTGTGCCGACAGCTGGTGGGTGAAGTGAAAGTCTATTTCGGTTTGTTTCTGATATCTGCCAAACTATTTTTTTTTATGCACAAACCAAACTGCAGTGGATGAGTGGATGTTTTTTGCTATACAATACAGTAAGGCTGGAATAGACTAAAAATACTTCAAAATACTGTGTGTATATATATATATATACACACACACACACACACACACATATATATATATATATATATATATATATATACAAAATAAATATACACAGTGCACCAACATATAATATGTAAACACAGACTTTTATTTTGGATCCGATTAATCGCAATTAATCGTTTGACAGCCCTAAAATATATATAGTCGCCACCAGTGTTTTTTGACCAAAAATGTCAAGGCCCCCAGAATATTTTCTTGTTTGAATATCTGAATATGCAAAGATCAGACCTTCTGCTTTTTAAACAAACAAACCTTGTTTTATTCAGATTCAGAACGAACATAGATGGAATAAATCAAGTCCATCAACACCTCCAAAGCTTCACAGTCCAGTAGTTTGTCATGGGTCGACATTTAGTAATATTATGCAGTTTTGATTTAAATGCTGCTTAATGTCGATGATCGCATTATTTTACATGTACATATGACATCGCTAGTTTCTGTTTCGTTTAGTTTAGTTTCATAGCGCCTCCTACCATATAACAGTGAAAATACAAAAAGCTGGAAATTTCCGTCAGTAGCGGGAAAGAGTTAATTAGTTAATGCCTTAACAATTCTGAATATACACTCAAAAGTTTATGCATTAATTAATTTGAAGGGTTTTGAAGTGGTTAACTTCTGTCCTGTCAAACGATTAAAATATTTAATCGCGATTAATCGCATTAATGTCATAGTTAACTTGCGATTAGTTGCACATTTTAATCTATCCTAAATGTCTCTTGATTTATTTTTGTCCCATTATTTTTTTTCTCATTTTAATGCTCTTATTAACATGGAAAAGTGGATCGGCTTGCTTTGTGCAAATGTTTTTTTATTTATTTATTTATTTTTTATTGAAAACAATGTTGGCATATACTGTGTTCAATTTCACACTAATTCTCACTCGGAGCAAATAATCTCTCACACATTGTAACATTGTCCATCAATAAAAGGGTGAAAGAAATACTGACGAGGTCCTGATATTGACGAGGGGCGGAGAATTCGCATCATCTGTGTGTGTGTGTGTGTATGTGTGTGTGTGCTTGGCCATCATCAAATGGTGTTTCAGACTGGACGTGCTATGATGATGATAGCTCAGTTCACAACGACAAAACACACAGATCACTTTGGTCTTGTCAATGGAATTTGGGAACTTTTTAAAAGCAAACTTTCCATTCAGAATCTTATTGGCATCCATTTCGGCGTCTCGCGCTCGTCATCCACTCCTGTAGTTTTGTTTCTGGTTTAGCTAGATCCCCTCGCGCTTTGGTTGACGAAGCAACAAAACGTCCTCGTGCAGCGCAAGCCATTGAAATGAATAGGTTTCATAGCGCAGTGCCGCGTCCTGTTGCAAAAGCATGTGAAAAAAACTACAAAGTTTGCTAGGCCAAAACGACCATTAATCAACCGTTAACCAACGTTAAAATTGGTTTGCGTTAACACCGTTAATGACGCATTTAACTGACAGCCCTAATATATATATATATATAGGGTACTGGTTAATATAAGCTTAAACATCATGACACACACAGGGCTCTCTCAAAGAAGCGAATCCGCCGCTATGGAAACAAAACGTAGTTGGTCAACCAGACCAACCAAAGAAATGAACACACACACACACACACACAAATTAACATAAGGCTCAGGCTGTAACAGGTGTAGGTTCAGGATTAGTACCTAGTTATTAACCCAGTTATTGTAATAACTATAATAAGTACATACACGGGGAACAGGACTGCACCTGCTTCTCTGTAAAAGGTACAGTCCAAAAAAAGTAAAGAAAAGTGCTACCCTCACGTTATTAGAGAGAGATTCAAAGTCAGTGCAGCCTTGTCTCAATTTTCATTTCATAAAAGATTCATTGCAAGAACCCGCTGCAGACCAGCATTTCATATTATGACACGTCAAAGAGACAGACGGCAGATCCAATTGCCTGTGAAAGTTTGAGTAATTGACATTCAATACGGAATCATGACGGGGAACACTCTGTCATTTTCCATTATAGGAGCTTTCCAACCGCAGCGACCGCAGATCTAACCACTGTCTTTTCGCCTGGTTTCAGATCCCGCAGATCAGCTACGCCTCCACCGCTCCAGAACTGAGCGATGACCGCCGGTACGATTTCTTCTCTCGCGTCGTACCTCCCGACTCCTTCCAGGCCCAGGCCATGGTGGATATAGTGAAATCGATGGGATGGAACTACGTGTCTACGGTTGCCTCGGAGGGAAGCTACGGCGAGAAAGGAGTCGAGGCCTTCATGCAGATTTCCAGAGAAGCGGGTGAGTCAGACAAAACAATAAACAACAAGTCTTTGAAGATAAAGTCCTGAAGAACTCAAGGCTGTCTCTGCATGTGTAAACAAGTTTTGCAAAAGACTCTTTTCTGGTTGTTTTAATAGCAACCTTTCAGTTTAATCAATACAGTTTATATTTTTAAAGACAAGCCTTCTTCACTGTGACATGTTTGGATTATGTTACTCATTCATCTCTGCAACACAAAGTTGATCATATGACAGCTATAGGAAAACATCAATAGGAAAAATTTGCAGTGTTTACCTAACAAGATTTTCCCCTTTCAAATAAATGAATATGTGAACAACACAAATGTCTATCAACGGTGGAGATGTTGTGTCTCTGAGACACTTTTCACACAAAACAAAGCGCCCCAAGGAAAGAGGATTCCTTCTAAACTTCGCCCTCAGTAGTGAGTGAAGCCAATTAGGTTATACTTTATTTTCGATAGTCACTTTAGACTAGGGCTGGGCAATGATTAATCGCCTCCAAAATAAAAGTTTGTGTTTACATAATATATGTGTGTCTAGTGTGTATAATTATTTTCCATATATAAATACACACACATGCATGTATATATTTAAGAAATATTTGCATGAATATATATATATATATATATATATACATAATTAAATGAAATATAAATATTAATATTTTATATATTAATTAAAATTGTTCTTAAATATATACATGCATGTGTGTGAATTTTTATACACAAAATAATTATACTTAGTACACCCACATATATTATGTAAACACAAACTTTTATTTTGGATGCGATTAATCGCGATTAATCGTTGTCCAGCCCTACTTTAGAAATTCTACTAATTATAAGTAACTTTATTATTTAGTACTATATTTATTTTTTACTTTATTTTCGATAGTCACTTTAGACTAGGACTGGGCAACCATTAATCGCCATTAATCGCATTCAAAATAAAGTTTGTGTTTACATAATATATGTGTGTAGTGTGTATAATTATTTTGCATATATAAATACACACACATGCATGTATATATTTAAGAAATATTTGCATGAATATACTGTATGTATATATATATATATATATATATATATATATAAATACATAATTTATATGAAATACATTTTCTTAAATATATACATGCACGTGTGTGAATTTTTATATACAAAATAATTATACACACTACACACACATATATTATGTAAACACAAACTTTTATTTTGGATGCGATTAATCGTTGCCCAGCCCTACTTTAGACATTCTACTAATTATAAGTAACTTTTCAACTACATGTCAACTAACTCTCAATAGAGTATTAGTATATTATAGTAGACTGTTAGGTTATGCTTAGGTGTTAGGCTTTTGGTTAGGAGAATCAGTTTACTTGTAGTCGCCAAGTTACTTATAGTCAGTTATTACTTAGTCATATAGTAGTAGTAGTAGTCAGTAGTCATAGCAGATATTAAGCTGACAGTCTACTAATACTCTAATGTCAGTTAGTTGACATGTAGTTGAAAAGTTAATTATAGTTAGTAGAATGTCTAAAGTGGACTATCGAAATAAAGTGTTACAGCCAATTACTAAACCTTACATTAAATTAGATGGCAAGGTGTAACCTGACATGAAGTGAAATTGGGGTTGGTATATCGACCAAATAACCTCATGATTGTTTCATGCTTCTTAAAAAAATTGTGAAGTCTTGTGGTTGGTTAATTTGTAAACGAATCGGTCTCTTGAGTCAGATCTTTTTCATGAATCGTTTGAATCAGTTCAAAAGATCAGTTTGTGCTCATAGCTGTTTTCCAGGATCTGGGATAAACTGAATTGAAACGGTCCGAGTGGTTCTTCAATTTAGAGACTTGCTGAAGAATTGTCCTTGGAACCTTAAAAGGACTTTACTTTTGGACTCCAACTGCATTAGTTTATTTTCATAAAGTTTCAAATCTGACAAAAAAAATTCCCTTCCTAGTTTTTATTTTATTCAGTATCCTGTTTCATGCTGAAATATGTTGCATTATTGAAGTAAAATGGATTCTGAATGTCATTTTGTGTTAATTTTAGGAGAGGAAGTGGAGATTAAATAGATTTTTTTTTTTTCTTTCTTTGGTGAAACTTATTTTGTAAATATTTTAAAATGCACCGGATTTTGAGTGTAAAGTGCTTGAAGTGCTCAAGGGAAAGACTTGATATGTGTTTAGACTTTCCAAGGAGCCTTTGGCACAGTGGTCAGTGTGTTGGCAAAAACAACAGTGCTCAGCTGTTTGGCAGGGCATTTCGCTGTGGTTACTTTATGGCTGTAAATGTATGCGGATAATGAATGTTCTACTTGTTTTGATAGGGACATTGAGCCTCATTCATGAAACCCAACAGAAGAAAACAGTTTTTCTTTTGATCAAAAACTTTTGATCAGTCATATGATATAATTTGCTATACTTGCAAATATGAATGTTAAAAAAAAACAAAATATCATATAGAAAGCTGTGAGTAGCTATCTTTTTGTTTTAACACTTTGCATATGCATTCCCTCCAGATTCACACAACCTCAGAGACATTTTAGCACTCAGCGTAGTCTTTTAATTGGGCCTACTGTCCAATTTAGCACTGCATGAGGTGAAATATATCTCTTCTGTCAGTGTGGTATAGAAAGCTCAGATTAGCAACATTTCTCACTTTACCGAAAGCCTTTTCACTTCTTCTTTGTGTAGCCAGTGAATTATTATGTAAGTTTATTTTGCAGACAGAAATTGAAGCAAACCTAACACCTACGTCCACACCTACCTCCAGGTATTTGTCATCTGAGCGTTGCGTGCCAGATTTCCCAACCACCCCGGCTTGTTTATTAATTTTTATTTATGAAGCAATTTACAGTCCACACAGGATCAGAAGAGAGGAGACAGTTATTAATGATCCTAATTTGCGTATTTGATTATCCTGTATGAGTGGCAGTTCGCACTGTTTATCACTATTATTGCTTTGGCACACAAGTGGCACTGTGCTTATCCTGTGGGAGACAACGGAAACGCTTTTTCATATGGTTGAGAACACAGCTCTGTGTGATGTGGAATGCTTTTGACTTCATTATCCTGAACGAAATTATAAACGCAACACTTTTGTTTTTGCCCCCATTTTTCATGAGCTGAACTCAAAGATCTAAGACTTTTTCAATGTACATGCAAGGCCCATTTCTCTCAAATATTGTTGACAAATCTGTCTAAATCTGTGTTAGTGAGCACTACTTCCTTTGCCGAGATAATCCATCCACCTCATGGGAGGGGAATATCAAGATGCTGATTAGACAGCGTGGTTATCGCACAGGTGTGCCTTATGCTGGCCACTAAAAAGGCCAATCTAAAATGTGCAGTTTTACTGTATCTGAATTTTATTCAGTGTATGTGTGACATCAAGACTCTAACATGCTTCGTTAGATTTGAATTAAACATGTTCACTGAACTTTTATCCACTGGTGGAGAAGATGCACCTGATTTTTTAAAAAAGACGTTGAATGTTGAATGCTCTTGGGGTGGTGTATTGGAACACACTGTAAAATATTTTCAAGATTTGTTATCACAACATATTTTCTTTTGTCAAATCAACTTTATAATAATTTATTTAGTCGAGATAACTTATTATTTTGAGTTTCTGATGGTTAAATTAATCTCCTTCATTGTATTAATTCACTTTTTCCAGTTCAATCAACTTAAAATTTTAAGGCAACCCAGGTTACTTACTTTTTTAAGTTAAACCAACAATATTTTTTTACAGTGTAGTAATCACAACAATTTTTCTTTTGACAAATCAACTTAAATAATTTATTTAGTTCAGATAACATATAATTTTGAGTTTCTGATGGTTAAATTAATCTCCTTCATTGTATTAACTCACTTTTTCCAGTTCAATCAACTTAAAATTTTAAGCCAACCCAGGTTACTTACTTTTTTAAGTTAAACCAACAATATTTTTTTACAGTGTAGTAATCACAACGGTTTTTCTTTTGACAAATCAACTTAAATAATTTATTTAGTTCAGATAACATATACTTTTGAGTTTCTGATGGTTAAATTAATCTCCTTCATTGTATTAACTCACTTTTTCCAGTTCAATCAACTTAAAATTTTAAGGCAACCCAGGTCACTTACTTTTTTAAGTTAAACCAACAATATTTTTTACAGTGTAGTAATCACAACAGTTTTTCTTTTGACAAATCAACTTAAATAATTTATTTAGTTCAGATAACATATAATTTTGAGTTTCTGATGGTTAAATTAATCTCCTTCATTGTATTAATTCACTTTTTCCAGTTCAATCAACTTAAAATTTTAAGGCAACCCAGGTTACTTACTTTTTTAAGTTAAACCAACAATATTTTTTTACAGTGTAGTAATCACAACAGTTTTTCTTTTGACAAATCAACTTAAATAATTTATTTAGTTCAGATAACATATAATTTTGAGTTTCTGATGGTTAAATTAATCTCCTTCATTGTATTAACTCACTTTTTCCAGTTCAATCAACTTAAAATTTTAAGGCAACCCAGGTTACTTACTTTTTTAAGTTAAACCAACAATATTTTTTTACAGTGTAGTAATCACAACAGTTTTTCTTTTGACAAATCAACTTAAATAATTTATTTAGTTCAGATAACATATAATTTTGAGTTTCTGATGGTTAAATTAATCTCCTTCATTGTATTAACTCACTTTTTCCAGTTCAATGAACTTAAAATTTTAAGGCAAACAGGTTACTTACTTTTTTAAGTTAAACCATCAATATTTTTTTTTTACTGAGAAAAACATTCATCTAGGAACACTAATAGATTGTTTGTTCAAGAAATCTGATCTTAAATGATGTTCTCAAAATGTTAGTACATGAACATTATTTATACATCAATCATAGAATGTTTTTTTCTAAAACTTTTATGGTGGATGTTTGTCTAACTTTTTTAGAAATGTATTACTTATTTCAGAGCGTCCAGAGAACATTCAAAAGTAACATTCACAAAAAAAT